GAGTGCAACAAAGGCCAAGCTGGTGGGCTCCTCTGTGTTCCCACTGCACCTGGGCCAGTGACCTAGGATAAAACGTGGGTGCTATCAAATATGCAAGTCATTGCCTCCCTCTTCCTAAATGACTAGAATTGACTAGTCAAAGTACATAATTAAAACAATGGGGACTCATAGAGTTTTATACACATTTTCGTAAGATATTTTTCAAAGACACAACCAATAACTTAGGAAAAAAACTGTTTGTAAATGGCAGGAACAAATAAGGAGGCAGACAGAATTCTCAGTGAAACAACTTGTTTCATCTGAGGTGAGCCACAGACAAACCACATGTTCTACGGGAGCCAAGTGCACTGTGTTACAGCTTTGTAGGAAGGTCAGGAGGGAACACCTCTGTCATGGCAGCTAGTGACACACACAAGTGGTTGATCAGCTTATCTATGAGCACAAGGAAAGTAGAAAAAGACAGAATAACATGAAAGCAATTCGTTTTCCTTTTAAACACTGGCGATGACTTTAGATGATGTTGCATCTAAAATTTCCCAGATCAAGAAACCAAGTGGGTTTTGTTTGTTCATTTCGGTTTTGTTTTTTGTTGTTTTTTTTTTTAATCTAAGAAAAAGCCTGGAGCAGATATAATAGACAAGTACCTGAAATGAAGTTAGAAGTGACCACTGTTACCTACACATTGAAGAAAGATCGATGGTTCACAAAATAAGGGGGAAAGTTTCATGAATCTACATTTCTGTTCTTCCATAGAGTGAAGATTTTTAGAGACTGCAAAGAGCAAGGTCCTTGAATAAGGGTGAGAGCAGCCTGGTTAACAGCATCCACCAGCCCAGTATTCAGATCTCGATTCTGCAAGGTGGACGCCAAGAGTGGGAGTCACTTAATCTAAGTCTCATTCTTTTCACCCATGAAATAGTGACAACAGGCATTTAAAGGCCTGGTGTGAGGAATACAGGTAATGAAAGCTACACAGGCTGGAAGTTAAAGGGCAGGTGTGAAGAACGAAGACCATTTGACTGGTAGATATTAGCTGTTAAATATTAGTTGTTATTTTAGTATCATAGAGACCACAAAATTCAAGAAAAAATCCAAGTCACTGTGATTAGAGAGCCAATGAAATCATGGTGAATTCTTTCAGATGTATTTTTCTTTCCTTTTTGATTCATTTGTACTTTAAGTAAAAAGTGCACCATTATCATTTCATTTCTATTAATGTTGTTATATGCTAATTTTTTTAATTAAGTTTTCAAAGGAATCTTTTAAAGAAACATCACTCCTGGACGGGAGAAGAAAATCCAGGATTTAAAACTAAAAAGGCAGTTCTGCTGTACAAACTATCCCAACGGGAGAGAGACAGACAGACAGAGAGGACAGGGAGAGCAACTACTGCATCAGAAGGGAGGGGGCAGATCTGGGCTACGTGTAACACTGACACCAACAACAAGTTGGTCACTCAGAACCAGTGCCCTGGGCTGTCGTGTTGGACACTGCAGACTGGTCCGATGTTCATACTGAGTAATTATTTACCATCTCCAATAGTTACTTTCACCCTAACAGGTCCCGCAGTTTCAAAAGCAAACATGGAATCTGAGCGCCACAGCCTGGATTCAAATCCCAACTGTACTCCATATATTTTGCTCTCTCAGTGCCCCAGGGGAATTTGTGTATGTTTACTTGGGAGTTGTGAGTGTGTATGTGTGCATATTTGGGGTTGGGTGAGGCCAGGATGTCTCTAAAGTGTGCAAGCCCTGGCATAGAAAATTAAAATTCAGCCATAAATTACTTGCTCTTCGTATTTATTTTATCAGTCTTAAAATTGCTCTATTCTGATTCCTCGTGTTTAATTGTGGAGGGGAGTCTGTGGTTTCTTGATCTCTCCTGGTAGGGGCCCCAGGGATCCTGTTAAGATGCTATCTTGGAGAAACTGTTACCTCCTAATGAGAACACGTGACTGCCAAATAATCACTGAGCACTGCTCACACACAGTTTGGACCTGGTGATTTAGGTATACCTCTCCCTCAATTTTCTATAGTTTGCCCTCCATTTCAAACATCTCCAGATTTCTGGGCCACATTTTTCTTCCTTCATCCTGGGTTAAAGCCCACAGCTCAAATGAAAAATGAATCTCTTTCTCTCTCACTGATAACGTGTGATGATTGCAAAGTCCCTCCCATTCTAACTCCCCAAGTGTATCTCAGTTGAGTTCTCTAGAGAATCTTAGTTCAGAAACTGTGGCAGAAAGAGCCCTACACAATAACAGCAATATGTTTAATCTACCAATGAGCAGAAAACATATTGTAGTATGTGAGAGGAGACAAATTATTTTTTTTCCTTAAAATAATCTGTGTGCAACTGAGCCTCACACCACGCACCTCCCCATTCCCCAGCACACACACTCTGCCCCAGTGAAGGCCTCCTCCCCAGTACTGCCACCTGGAAATTCTCATTCCTCCTCACGAGTCTGTCTCACTCTTTCACCACCCACCTGACTTCAGACACAACCCCTGTCCATCACAGTGCTCTCGGAGCCCTCTTCAGCCCGCTTAGCCGGAGCTGGACTCCCTGCCCCAGCCGACTGAATGCCCTTGTTGTAATGCCCTTAACGGTTGTGCTGAACTCACTTTCTGTACTTTTAATATTCTCACATTGTTCATCTTTTCTATATTTTACAAGCAAAACAAGATTATTCTAGAAAAATAAATTTCACCCATCAATACCCAGAGAGAGCTAAGGATAAGGATTTGGGCCATGTTCATTCAGATATGCATAATTACCATTTTTAATGCCTTTTAAAAATATTTTTAAATCCTCACCTGAGGATATGTTCATTGATTTTTGAGAGAGAAAAAAACGGAGAGGGAGAAACATCCATCAGGTGCCTCACAAACACACACTGACTCGGGACCGAACACACAACCTTTGGTGTAGGGGATGATGCTCCAACCAACCGAGCCACCCAGTCAGGGCACCACACTGATTTCTTCTGAGGAGGACAAGACGATGGCATTTAACACAGCTGACAGTAGGGAGGAAGAGGTGTCATGGTTCATTACCTTTTTAAAATTTTTTTTTGCTGCTAATCTTTGAAACACTAGAGCAAAAATATTTACTCTCTAAAACCTTACATTTCTTGTGTGCTGGTAATATTTATATTGATTCATATTTTACATTTCAGTAAGGATAAATATTATGCAGCATAAATGGCACCATCATTAGCGATGGACCTTTATTAAATGCAGGTCAATTTAAGAATAAAAATGTTTGCAAATCACAATTCAATGCAAACCCATAGCTACACCTAGTATCTTTTTAACATTATTTCTGCCGAGAGAGAAATTCCTCTTTGCAGGGCTTCAGTCCTGTCTTAATGTTTTCAAGACCACTTGGCACACACAGTTTCAATGAGCTAGCTGAAAAAAAATGCAATGATATAAGCAATGGTGAGAAATTAGGAATCTTCATGACTGGTCCCACTATAACTTGCCATGGTACTTCTTTCTAACTCTACAATGCTATTGTAGGGTGTACTCCAATAAAACAAGGGAGTAAACCAAAAAAAGGAAGACATGGCATTAATGAACTAAGGACTTTAACACTGGATCTCCAGGATGGCAACGAGCACACGTGTGTAGGAGACCAGCACCAAGCACAGGGGCCCCACTAAGACAAACACAGAAGCGACAAAGGCAACAAGCCAGCTGAACCCAGTGGCAGCACAGGCCAGCTTGAGGACAGACAGGATCTCACAGAAGGAGTGGTCGACTTCATGAGGCCCACAGAAGGGCAGCCTCAGGACAACAAACACAAGGACAGGGCCGGGAGAAGCTGAATGCCCAGGATGTTCAGTAGCAAATCGCACTTTATTTGTCTCAGTAAGTCATAGTCCTTGTTCTTTTAAACTGATAATACTATCTACAGTATAATATTAATAATTACAATTTTGAGCTCATTATAATTTGTGGATTCTGCTAAGCATTTTGCCCATAGTATTACCTCTCAATAAACCTTAGTTACTGAATTTACTTTACAAAATCTAAACTTCAAAGAATATAAGCATGCTTTGTAAGAAAGAAATCCATACATTTTCTTCTTTAAAAACTCTTCACACACACATAAACATAATTTTAAAAGTAAATATTCCCTTTGATGCAGTTTAAGTATTCAGGTTTAATTTAGCATATAATTAAAGGAAAAATTTGAAAGTGTCTCAATACAACCTTACCCACCACTTTTTAACTGTGGTCTACCTTTTCATAATTGTGTTGGAGTTTCGTGTTACATGGTTATTTAACTCACCTCACATCTCTTACTTGAAAGAGCAAATTATTACTGATAATTTATAATCTTGTCTCATTGGTCAAACAGTCATCACAGCAATTACACAGTCTGCTCTTGTTCATGAGAATGCTGTAAGTTTTGGACATATCCCATAGGAGAAAATGGACAAAACCAATGACAGAAAATGTTAATTCTGCCAAGGACTCTCAGCTACATCCATTCTGCCTTCTTCCTCTCATCCCCACCATCCCGGATCTCCACCTACACGGCAAAGGCAGAGAAACGCAGCAGCAGTGGAAATTCCATGTGTCTGTGTGTTTCACCTGACATCCTTCAAGGTTCTCTCCTTGTCAGTTTCATCAGAGTTACACCTTAATCCTCTTTCCCTTGAAGTCCTGGCTCCTGCTCTTCCTAATTTATGTTGCTGAAGCCACAGAAACATCACTGTCATAGACATATTCGGGAAAACCAACAAATGTTTTAAATGTAGAACAATTTATTAAGATGACAGATGTTAAATTTTAAATATTTCAATAATTACTATATAATCAGTCTCAACTGCTATATTTTACATATTCTTTCCATACCTTGGTTTATTTAATAAAATTTTGTCTACAAATCTTGATTACAAAACATATAAATTTATTTCATCTTATTCAGAATATTCCTTTTGACCATATCACAAGTGTGCATACCACACAGAAAGGTGGAAGAAGGGCTCATTTTCTTGTGCAGCATCCTTGTAGACAGCGACCAAAATGGGCTTTCTCTGGAGATAGTGACAGGAGAACATGTAAAGAACGCCTTAGGCGTAGAGCATGTCTCTGCATTCCCGTGCACATATCGGGTAAGGTAACACACTGGCTCTCTTTACACTCAATTATTTTTTTATCAGTGAGGCTCTCATGACAGTGTCTCCTCTTCAGCCTCCTTCTCAGAGCAGCATTGACATCTCTGTTCCTCAGACTGTAGATCAGGGGATTCAGCATGGGATTGAAAAGGCTGTGAAACAGGAGGAGGTATTTATTCCGCTCCTGGGGATCCCCATGTTGAGGTCCAACATACATGATAATGGCTGTGCCATAAAAGAGTCCCATCACACAGAGGTGGGAGGAGCAGGTGGAGAAAGCTTTCCAGCGCCCCTCTGCTGACTGGATCTTCAGGATGACACATAGAATGTGACCATAGGAGACCATAATTGTGCACACGGGTCCCACCAGCCCCAAAGCTGACAGAGCCACAACCACAACCTCGTTAAGGTGGGTGTCTGCACAGGCGAGTTTGAGAACAGCTAGAAGCTCACAGAAGAAGTGATTCACATTCTGGTGCCCACAGAAAGGCAATGGTAACAGCAATACCAGATGTACTAGGGTCAGGAGGACTCCTATAGTCCAGGAAGTCACTGCCAGGATGAAGCAGACTCTCCAGTTCATGATGGTAGAATACCGAAGGGGCAGGCAGATGGCCACGTACCTGTCATAGGACATGACCATCAGGAGAAGACATTCCGTGGAAGCAAAAACTATGAAGAGGAAGGTCTGTGTCAGGCAGCCAGCAAAGGAGATGGGCTGGGCTGGGCTCAGGAGATTGACCAGCATCTGGGGCACCGTGTTGCAGGCATAGGCTATGTCCACAGTGGCCAGGTGGGAGAGGAAGAAGTACATGGGGGTGTGCAGTCGGGGGTCCAGTGAGATGAGCCCCAGGATGACCCTGTTGCCCAGCAGGGTGAAGGCATAGAACACAGAGAAGAGCCCAAATAAAAGCACCCGCATCCCTGGGCTGAGTGGGAATCCCACTAGGAGGAACTCTGTGACAGAGGTCTGGTTGCCCCCCATTGTCCTGGGAAGGAACAAGGGAGAGAGCTCAGCAGGTCTGAGTGCCTGAGGGACATGTTTAATGTGTCACAGGTAGACCTGTGTGTGTCACTGCTTCTTCCCTCGAAAACGTCCTGTTCATCAGTTACTAAGTGAGTAGTATCTACGCATGGCAAATGACACAGAAGGAATTTCTTTCACCTTGATAAATTAAATGCCAGTGTTCCATTACACTGTTCAGTGAATCTTACCTTTATTTACAAATTTCCACCACAGTTCCTAACATGTTAACACGCCCACTGCCTCCCTATCAGTGGACAATTTCCTCAGTCAGCAGGTCTGGTTTGTGGGCCTGCCTGGCAGAAGTTCCAACCCCCAGTGCACACATGGGCACCATGGGGAGGTGGCTGTAGCACTGGCCCTGCACCCACACACGAGGGTGGGAAGGAGGATGAGAAGCCTGTGGGAGATCCACCTATCAGAGGATCTCACAGATTTGTGCCTACATTAGATGACTTATGTATTAGCCTTGTGATTTTTACTGGCAGCAACATCTTGAATTAAGTTGAGAGCATGGCAGGCAGACTGCCACCACTTTAGCCGGATTTAGGGAGAGAACTTTGTCCTTTGACTTTTGTACCCACGAACATTCTACTCTGATCATGCTATTTCATGATTGGATATTACCCATCACACATTGTCCCTTTATGAATAATTATATTCCATTCCTGTGTTTGGATAATATATATGTTTTATATACAATTCCATACACACATACATGCATACACATGTGCCTGAATCTTTATTATGTGGAAGATGAGTTGCTATTTTCTACTCTACTAGTAAAATGGTGGTTGAATAATCTCTTGATGGGTCATGGCGTGGGATTTAAAACTACTGTTCAGTAGGCAAGGCTAGAGTCTAAGCTCTAACTATACACTCATATCCTTAGAACCTTTATTATAGTTTATAGCTTAACTCTAACATGAAAACATTATTCATCATGAATATTTACTTTCTCTGGTTTATCAATCTTTAGGAAAGAACTTGTCCCAGGGTGGGAATTCCGAGGTTTCACTTGTAACTATTAAACCACTGCTTCTGTTTCCTTGTCTGTCTGACTCCATATCCTTCTTCAGCCCAGCATCCACCTGAATTTCACTAAAATAGGAATCTCACAAAAACTCATGATTTTGGTCGCATATCAATTTTACATTCAAATTTCCTCATAAGTTAATATATGCAAGGTGTTAGAAGCAAAAGTGTGAAAGCTTCAACCTGCTTCAAAGGAAGAATCAGAATTCATAGCAGAAACAGTGGGAGACGATTTTATCTTAGTCCAAGAAATAACGCCATAACAGTTGGAATCACCTCTGTGAAGAAAGCTGGTTGTTTTAGTAGGACCAAGCTTTATGTCAGTGAGTGGTTTAACTCAGAGATTTGGATTCCCATGTTACGGGAGAAGGCCAGCAAGAAAAGTTCTCAGGTCTCTTCCAACTATAGGATTCATTGGCTCTAAATGTATAGAAAAGTGTTAGCCATTTTTGTTTCAGGTTTGTTGGCACATTTGGGGTGCAAGAAGACAGCAGTGGTATCTCTAAAATGTCCTAGGATGAAGGACACAATTAACTAAAGCAGAATGACCAGTGACTGTCATCTCATCTTCCTATCTGCTGTAAGTAGCTAAAACACAAAACAAAAATACACAGATATTTACTAAACATACTCAATGTTCATCCACATATCTTGGCTGAGGACATAAAGGCAACTCCTATTTGCTAGTGTATACAAATTCCTTGGACAAAATGTCACTAAAGACAATGAAACTGCGAAGAGGCTGACAGTGACCAGAGGGGAGAGTGGAGGAAATTTCAGGGGAAAAGGGTGAAGGGGTTGCAGGAACAATTATAAAGGACACATGGACAATAACAGGGCCCTGGGGGGGGGGGGGTGGATGGAAACAGAGTAGAGAGTGGGGAGGGCTGGAGTGTGGGGCTAGGATGGGGAAAAAAAAAAGGCAACATACTCTACTTGAATAACAAAAAGAATAAATGAATAACAAAAAGAATGAATAAATAACAAAAGAAAAAGAAATTCCTTGGAGTGACAAGTCTGTTAAAAGGACTCAAAAAATGAAAATTCTCCTATTCAAATAACTAACCAAATAGAACTTCACTTTCAAAATAAAACCTTCAGGACACTCTACTGTAGTAAACCCCTTTTGTGGTCAATTTGTCCATTATTTCATGAAAATATGACTAAATTTCATAGGACAATACAAACACATTAAAGCAAGTCTCTCACAGAGCTAACGAATATTTTTTTCCTTTTTTTCAGAGGGGAGAGGGAAGGGAACTTAAGGGGAAAAAGAGGGAGGGATTTTGAGGAACAAGTATGAAAGACACAGAAATGAGGACTGGGGGGGGGAATGGGAGGGTGGGGGGAGACCGGGCGGGGGGGGGGGGGGGGGGGGGAAGACAAAAAAAAAAAAGAAAAAAAAATACTAAACACATAATAAACCTTAAAAAATAAACAAAACAAAAAAAGATGATTTTAAGAAGACAAAATGAAAATGGAGGCAATTGTACTTGAACAACAATAAAGAAATGAAATTTAAAAAAAGAAGTGTTTCTATGCTTTTACAAGCAAAATTTATAAAGAAAATATTTATAAATCTTAAAACAAAATAAAAATAAATAAAAATTTTATTTAGTTATTTTTCAAATACAGTTTTTTGTCTATTTCTCCCATCCCAGCCTCCCTCGCCCCTTGCTCCCCACCTCCCTCCCATCTCGACCCCCCTTAGTTCTTGTCCCTGTGTCCTTCCTATTTCTTCCTTCAAATCCCCCCCTCTTCTTCCCCTTAACTTCCCTTCCTTCTCCCCTCTGGTCACTGTACGAATATTACTTAAACAAGAAGTTTTACACTAAATGTACCACACTAAATGATCCACATTAGGTATCTCTAAACAGGATGGGACTGAAATGATCCAATTTGCTAAGACTATACACAGCAAAAGCCGCACATTGACAGACAATAACTATTCTATTCTGCACTGTGATTCTTCATCACAGCCTGTCTGAAGTTGAATAGTGAACAAAGACTGGACAACATGCGAAACTTACCACAGACTTTACAGCTACACATGAGAAGACCAGCTGAATGTGAATGGGGTTGAGCCAAAACACAGCAAGAAAGAGAAAAGCATCTGATTTAGTGTTGAAATGGCCATCTCATAAGCATCTCTTAGGAGGAAAGGTACCTGAACAAGAAGAGATGATTGATTCTCTGCTCCACTCCACCACCTCTCAATATACTTCTGAGGGTTTGGTGTAGGGAGGCATAGAAACCCACCAGGGACACTGCCATTAACTCCCTTCCAGAGGAAAGGGGGCTCTAAAGGGACTAATCTCTGGTGTTCTCCACAGGGACACTTGTGGCAAGATGGTGGTGTTGTGACTCCTTCACTCACTATGGCGTGCATATTCATCCATTTAGCAGCTCTAGAATGACTTCTAGGACTCCTTCACACATTATAGTGACCACACCTTGCATTCACTATGGCTCAAGAACTCAGTTTCCCCACCTACTAACCCTCCACATAGAGTAGGTGCTACAAAAGGCAGCTGGGGCTGATGGGTTTTTACCATCCTCAGTCTTGGCCGAGTTTTATCTCACACCAGACTGGAATATGTATCCTCCATATTTTTTCTCTTTGAATCAGATGAGAATCTAACATGGAACAAAAACCATGCTGGTGTTGTACAATAGTAGAGAGACTTTCATACAACACAATGGTTACAAGGATACTGGAGAACTACAACAGTAAACACAGAGCTCTTGGATGAACAAGGAGAAGTGTGTCGAGCTGTAATTCCTAGCGTTCAAGGGCACAGAGCACAGACTGGGTGATTGGAATCCAGAAAGCCAGAGTACTCAGGGTTCACGCTCAACCCTATGAGGAGAAGGAGTGCCCCAGTGCCACTGTGGCCCCAGCTGGGAATGATGGATCTAGCTCTGGGAAGCTGAGTAACTAAGGCTGGGCAGGGGGACTTCACAGCCACTGCCAAGAGCTGTTGGGCAAGGCTGACAAGAGCAGTGGGCAGACAGGAAGGAGCAAGGTCCCTTTCCCTGCTCCAAGCTCCCAAGCTGCTTTAGAGCTCCCTACCTACACAGCATAAGCAATTGGAAGCCACTAAAAGCAGTAATTGCCCTGGCTGGTGTGGCTCAGAGGTTGGAGTGTCCACCTACCTATTGAAACCTTGGAGTTTCGTTCCTGGTCAGGGCCCATACAGAGCTGGGTTGCAGGTTTGGTCCCAGTTGGCACACATACAGGAGGCAACCAATGGATGTTTCTCACATTTATGTTTCTCTGCCTCTCTTCCTCTCCACCTCTGACTCAAAAAACGAAAAGCATGTCCTTGGGTGAGGATTAAAAAATAAAAATCAATAGTCCAAATGTCCCAGTTTGGTTAAGAAAAGTTGTCATCTGGACACCAGATGCAGGGGTCTCAAGTTTATCACTAAAGAACAACCTCCACTTCACTCATACTGAGAGTTCATTAGTACAAAATTACTTAAAAATAATATGGGAAACCTTGAAAAACTTTTTTTTTTAATTTTTATTTTTTTAAAATATTTTCTTTATTTATTTTTTGAGAGAGGGGAAGGGAAGGAGAAAGAGTGGGAGAGAAACATCAATGTGTGGTTGCCTCTCATGCGTCCCCTGCCAGGCATGTGCCCTGACTGGGAATCGAGCCACGATACTCTGGTTCGCAGGCCCGCGCTCAATCCACTGAGCTATGCCAGCCAGGGCTGAAAAACTTTGAAAAACTGAATAATGGGAGCCTTTGAACCCTGCCCCGTAAATAGAACTAATTATCGCATTCTGCTTCTGTGTCCTTGAGCTCTGCTACTGCCCCTAGACAGAACTAATTACCGCATTCTGCTTCTGTATCTTGCTTTTGCCACATAGATAGGAAGACCCCTAATCTATATATTCCCCAAGAATCCTTTGTTCATTGCTCAGAATTTGGAGGCTGACTCCTCTGAGCCCATGCATGTAAAAGGAATAAACCTCG